GTAGCTAGATTTTGTCTAAATCCACACAGCTGAGGAAACCTGTGCTTGCTCTTTCTCTGAATTTTTCACTGAGGGGCTTTTATCTCCCCCTAATCCCACCATTTCTGTCAGGACATAATCTCTTTCTCAAATTTACATTTTAATTACAAGGCCAGCTGAACTAGCTAAAATCAATAATGTCAGCATTCAGCAGCCTAACTTCAGCTGAAACCCCAGCCTCTCTCTTTCCTTCTATCGATTTATCTTTTGAACACGGTCTGCTTTATTGCTTCAGGCAAATAGGTGCCATTTGGTCAATTTAAACAAAAAAGGGGATTTGAACATTTTTATGATTCTTTCTAAAAGCTGCTATTGGAACAATTTGAACCCAGGTACTGTACTTGTGTTAATCAGAATTCTCCTGTTCTGTGTATTTTGAGAGGAACTTTACTTTTAAAACTGCACTTAATCCCATCTGTGTCCTAAAAACAAAACAAAAAAGCCCACCCTGGCATTGGATACCGTTCAGCTAGGGCTGTCTGCATGGTGACTCTTGTCTTTATCTTGTTAGCAAAAACTAATTTTAGAAACAAACATTTTTTAAACAACCCACAGTAGAGGAGGTTTTACTGATGTCAGTGTGTTTACCTTTAGCCATTTTTCTATTAATGGTTTAAAATAAGAAATCAATGGGAAAATATTTTGGTCTTGTAACTCTTAAGAATTCCTATATTGATCTTTTGGATGTGATTTTTATCTATCTAAATGTCACATTGTCCATTTATCTCTCTTGCCTTTTCTATGTGTTGCTGACTGCTTGTCTCTGCTGTTCACATCCTCTCCCCCCCCAAATAAAAATCAGTGTAGTGAATGAGCAATTATGCTTTCCGTAAACATCGTAGGAAAAATTGGAATAAAACTAGGGTTTCCTGAGAACTTTTAATACATATGCATATATTCTCTCTGAAGAGGAAAAAAGGTGTAAGAGAGACATACCTGCTACCTTCTGACTTCAGGACACTTTCTAAATGTACACACACAAGTGCTCTCAAAACTGTTGCTTTAAAAAATGCTTTTCAGAAAGGTATTCTTGTCCTTAAAAAAAAAAAAAAAAAGAAAAGGCAATTTTAAATGCTAAATACAGCCTAAGCAGTTCTACATTACAGATACAGTCAGTCACATGTTCTTCTCAGCTAACCTTGTTCATGCCAAAGGGCCTGTTCGTTCGGAACAGTTTCTGTCATAAAAGGAAGTTTACTTTTCCAAATCCTGATGATTCTAAAGCGTGCTTATAAAAGAATCTTTTGGGTTAAGTCTGTTCCACTTTGATACAAAGCACCTGCAAAGGGCTTTTTCTCTTTCTGGCCTGTGACAGGAGCCGAGATGGAGGTCTGTCCTGCCCCCTTTCCAGATATGTAAGTTCAAGATGGCTCCCTTCAGTGAGGTGTTAGGTGCTGCTGAAAAAAACACTTTTATGGAGGCACCACTATGCCTCTTGAATGGCAAGTCCCCAGCCTAATAAATGTCATGAGATCATTTAGTTTGCTATGTAGCCTATATAGTCCTCTGCTTAGTTCCAACCTATTATGCTTATTTATAATTTCCCTTACTGCTGGTTCTGATGATTTTGAGACCCTTTTCCAATGCACAGATTAGTCCTTTAAATAATTTTTTTTTTTTTAACAATGCTCTTTAAAGTCTTGTTGACTTTGGGAAGGGAAGTTAGGTAACAAGATAAATGTGTGGTCATCATTTTATTAGAGATTGTGATGTGAGCATGACTGAGTAAGGGAGCGGTAGTGCCAGGCACGTCCTCAGCATCACCAGCCAACAGCAAGATCATAGAATCACAGAATGGTTTGGGTTGCAAGGGACCTTTAGAGGTCATCTAGTCCAACCCCGATGGCTTGTCTGTCTACAACTGGTAGGCAGGTTCTCACCTCCCATCTGAGGACATAAAAATTAAAAAGAGGTGATCTCTCTTTGCATCACAATCCATGCTAACGTCAATTCCCAGGAAGGATGGGACAGCTTGAGCAATGCTGTCTTTCACTATGCGCTGCCTTAGGAATGTGGGCTTTGGTTGTGGGATGCTTTCTGGAGAGCAGAACAGGGAGTCAGGGGAGAGCTGAGTTTGACACTGGCTTCTGAGTGTGGTGAATGTCTTTTTGTCCGCTCTGCTATGCTTGCTGCCTGCAAACGTTTGGATGGTTGGGTACTTCCTGAAGTCTTTCTAGGACAGCCACAGGACTGGTACTACTGAAATACCCAGTCTCAGATGTGTGTTCACTCCTGTGGGGTATCTACATGTGACTCAAGTAGCCTTTTCTTAGGAAAGGTGGAGTGCATCAACCTGCCCGAGCTGGATCTGGTCTCCCTATGGACGTGGGGAAAATACTATCACACACAAATCTCATCACGAATGTACTTGCCTCCCCTCAACCATCTTGTTAAAATGGTCCACATTTCTCTTTGTCATGCACTGGATAAGCAGAAGGAATGTATTGAGTTGCCATGGGAGAGCAAGGAGGAGAAGTCTCCATGAATGCTTATTAACCGCTGATGGCTAGTGCTCTCTCATCCTCTTTCCTTCTCCAGATTCTATTTGCTTCCATCCCTTGTTTTGAAAGGGGAAGGTGAGCCATCTGCCACGGTTGTAGTTACTGGCCCCTGCCCTGAATTGCCTTGCCCTTAGAACATTTTCCTTCATTGTTACCAGTATAAGCCGTACTAGAGAGAGGCATGGGGCCTCGGTCTTAGAAGAGTCCTCATCCTTGGTAGTATTCTGGAGCTCTCTCTTCCCTCTGGAGACAGCTGTATTCAGAAAATCTAGGAATGACTGAAGTGGCCATTTGCGGTATGTAACAAAATTTAAAGGCTATGCAAGCCAGATCCAACTGGATGTCTGCTTTTGTTTCACCTCTCCTTCTGAGGGGCTCTAGCTTTGTGGATTTCAAATTGGGATTGTTGGCTCCCACTGGGGTGAGGATGTCCAGGAACTACGTTAAGCGGCGGGTTGACAGGGCATCTTTCTCAGTGCCCTGAGCTTGGAGCCTTGGAAATCCCTGCTCAAGGACTCAGCTCCTGATCTAGGTACTTGGAAAGTTTAGACCCATGTGTACCTAGGGGATGGATCTAGAAGGTTGCAGCTCAGCAACTTGACCAGTGGCTGGAGTCAGGCAATGTCTTCTGTGTGGTTGCACCCCATAGGTTACAAGGAACACGTGGTACAAATGAACCCAGGTCAGGATGAATTACTGGAAGACCTTATAAGGTAGAAAGAAGGGGTCAGGGCAGGTTGCTCTGATTCTTTTATTTTTTTTTTTTTTGTGAAAAATATGTTTTTCTCAGAAATGAAAATATTTTGTGCACCAAGGCTACTTGCCTCTAAGGGTCCTGCAGTTTCCCACTCAGAGGGCAGTTCGTACCACCTTAGCTTTTCCTTTTTTAGTTGATATCTTGTTATACATTTAATGATTAGCAGAGCAAATTAGCAAAGCAAAAATACTTCTGGATACAGCTTCAGGGCTGGCTAGAAGTGGGTAAGAGACTAAAAGTCCCAATTAAGTAATGGCTAGAACACGTCAGGTAAACTCAGGTTGCTTTTCATAAGAATGCTGAGATAATTTACTTAAAATTTTAGTCTTGTGAAACCATGACTCTTTTTTGAGGTGATTTAGTTTTTTGGGGGGTGGGGCCTTGCATTTCAATCTCTTACAAATAAGCTTTCTGATGGGGAAACGTCTATTACGTTAGCGTGAGGGATCATGTCTTTCCATTTTCAGCTGTTGGTGGCTGAAAAGTTCTTGTTCCTACGGCCAGCTGATAGAGTTGCTTCTCTAGCTCAGCAGGTAGAGGTGTGTGCTGTCGAACTGCTCAGCCTACCTAATCACATCGTTACAGTCCGGGCTGGCTGTCTAATCTAGCTGTATAAAGTAATTAAGTTGCCCCACCACTGAGCTGCCGGTGCCAAATGTCAGTGCCCAGTATTGCCTTGCAGTGGGCTTGTTCTCAGGTGTAGCTTAGGCATTTACTGTCTCTTGAGCCTACTCTGTGGGTATGTTCATTGCTTCTGCTAGCACTTAGGTATTTTATCTTGGCAAATCATGTGATTTAGTATCTGTGAAAGAAGAATATTCTCTAGATAATTTAGATAATTCAATTTGTGGATGTGTTTAGGAGTTGAAACTCAAACTATTCTCAGTGGTGTTGCCCCTTAACAAATCAGGAAGAAAAAAAAAAAAAGAGATCTATTTCTTTTTTTTTTTTTTTTTAATATTCTCAGCTCTGAAGGGTCAGTATGGTAACCGAGAATCATGAAAGAACATGGATGTCCCTCACACACACTTTGTTTTTTCACTGGGCGTGCTTCCCTGCCAGCCGTGCTGGGTGGTGATGGTTCCGATTCTTGTCAGTCGTGTGTTGCAGTGAATGCCCCCACCCAGAACTGGTTTCTCTTTGCCAGGCTGCAAGAGTTTTAGCAGGATGTTTTGCTGAGACACCACAAAGAATTAATCTTGGCACCTAGGAGGATATGGATGTATACCTTCCCTTTTGCTTTCTTCTGCTCTCCAATATCTTTTGGCACTCTAGCTGTTAAACAGTAGTGCCAATAGTTCCTTTTTTCTATTTTACCTTGACATAACCTTAAGTACAGAAATGATGTACAAGCAAGCAGATGTGACACTAGAAACTTATAGACAAAAAGTAGTATTGAAGTTTAGGCAAACATTTATTGTTAAAATCCTTCTTTCTAAGGTGAAGTAACGTCATTCTTTGTTGTCACACTATGTCATACAAATTTCAGTTAGTTTGCTGTAGTTAGTTACTCAGTATGTTTCTGTTCCAAAACAAGAAAAATTTCACAGGTAGAAATATCACTCTGAATTTGAGTGGAATTAATATCTAATGCAAACTGAAAGCAGCAAGACGTAATCAGCATCGTGAGCTGTTTTGCCCTACTGTGAAGCATTGAGGGTGGAAGAAGTGAATTGCTCCTAAATATTGAGATTTTTTTGCAGGGCTAGAACCTCAGTCACCTCCAAAAGCACCGGTGGGGAAGACATCAGTAGGACCAGCTCCGCAGAGCTCCCGTGCCCAGCTGAAAGGGAATGAAGATGAACTTGATCCAACCTGTGCAGCTGCCACACTGAAACTTATTAGAGACAAACTACCGAAGTTACCACCTCCACATGCCAGGTTATCTTTGTTTTCATTCTCATAGAAACCTCTTGCTCTTACTTGTGTTTATTAGTCACAAAAGCACACAGAGAAGCGCTCATGAACTAGGCAAGCTGCTAAGGCTGTCTTGGTTTCATTTTGAAGTTACAATTCTTTTACTGAGATGTACATTCACTGCTTAATATTGGGGATTTTGCTAGTGATTGAACGGGGCTCTTAAGGAATCTTTTACTACTCAGTTTGGGTTTTATTTGTGTAAATGACCTCTATAAAAAACCAAAACATTTCCTTCTTTTATAACAAAAAAACCACCCTATTCCCATGTATTGGAGTAATTTTTGGTTTGCAACTAAACAGAACATATCCTAATATTAAATTAGAAAGTAGTTTCAACCATCTCTTGGTTCCTGGTGACTTGTGCTGGCAGCGCTGCCTGGAGGTGTGTTTTACTGATTCCAGAGATGTATTTGTTGTCAATCCTATACAGCGCTTGGTGAAACTCCAGCCTTGTCTGGCATTTATCTGTGATTTAGGGATAAGACTGGAGTAATCTACTTAGTGACATATTCCTGAAAAGACAATTCTGCATTGGCTGGGAAAGCCCCCAAAACCTAGCAAACTGGAATATAATCTCAGAGAGAGAAAGGGGTTTGCTGCATTAGAACTCTGGAGTTTGGAATATTCAGGAGTAAATTTTTATTTTTAATATTTAAAAAATTAATGTTTCAGTAAGGCGGCTAAGACCACTTGCAGCTCTATCAGTGAATAGCCAAGGTCTCCATAGTAGTAGTCTGGTTTTTGAGGACTGATGAATTCTGTTGTGGTGTTGCACAATGAGTATTACAAGCCTGCAAGGTGGAATTTTGTCAACAAAAACAAAGACTTTGCAATCTGTGTGACTGCCATGCAAACATGGTCATGAGTTTACAGAAGCAAGATCTTCCTAAAAATGCTTTGCTACGTCAGTAGCTCTTGTTACAGTACAGGGTGTATGATCCACTGCTGCCCCCGTTAGATCTCTAGGCTTCTACACCCATGGTGTAATACATTTTATCTAGCCTTAGCTGAATGTGCAGTTAAGCATCATGGTGCAGTGTGCTGTACTTAGAGCGTGTAGTGTTATGGTCTGTATCATTTTCAACAAAAAAAAAAAAAGGACAACCCTGTAAAAGGTAGTTATAGTCCTAGATCTAAGATAATATTAGCGTTGGTGTGAAAATCTAATGAAAAAAAGAGAAAAAGTTGTTGTGATTGTTGCTGTTCTGTATTGACTTTTCATCAATTTTCTCCAGTGGCCCTGCAACTACTGAGCCAGCAGCCTCAGAAGAGCCTGACAGTAAGAGAAGAAAACTAGAAGAAGAAAGAGCTAAAGCTCCCCTCATGCCTTTTGGATTAGATCTTCACTACTGGGGACAGGATCAGCCAAGTGCTGGGAAGATTCTCAAGTAATGCTCTTTTTCTTTTAAGACAAATTAAACAAATATATAGATTTACTTGTACTCAGAGGTCATGCAGTGGGGTGACTGCTATTTCTTTTGGTAATTACTTTTCTTCTTTCCCTTGTGCTGTAGCACCCATAAACAAAGCCAGAAATCCTACCTTAAAATGTTATTTGTTTGAGAAGACGTGATACTAATTAAATATCCTTTGATGCTTCAAAGCACATTTTTTTTCTGCTCTTTCATGTTTGTGTATTATTTGCATCATGGCATCGCTTACTCCAGTTTAAATTGGTTCCTCATTATGCAAAGTGCTGTGCAAGTGCATGATAGACGGTCCCTCTGCTGGGGACTTTACAGTCTAAATAAACAGCAGACAAGGTAGGAGAAAGGCTGGGGAAGGTGTCAGGGGTGTTTTTCCTGACTTTACAGAGTGGTAACTGAGGAAATTGATATGCTTGTTCAGTCACACAAGACATAGGTGGCAGTTACAGGATTTGAAGTTGGATATCTCACTTTCCATTCTTGTCTGGGAAGGTTCTGTGTTTCTTGGACATGGAGCATCGCTGGTTTGGGGAGAGCTTTAGCAATGCTGGGGAGGACAGATCGTAGGTATACATCAGAACTTGTTTCTAGCAGTCAGTTTTTAAAACCCCTTTTTACCACTAGTAAAAAGTGGGGATGCAAAGTCCTCCCTCTACGTATAAATTTCAGTTCAGTCCACCAGAACTTTGCTATCAGTATGTGCCATACCTGGCTTGGAAAAGGCAAAAAACATTGACTGGCAGGGTTGCAAAGTGAACTCACGTAATCTCAGCAGTATCACTTAGTTTATTTTCTTATCAAAACAAACAAAAAACCCCAACCCATGATCACAGTGTGAAGACAGTGTTTGCAGAAAAAAACAAGAGGAAATTGTTGCCCCTGTACCTGCTTGTATAAAATGCTTGAATATGTTTTAAATTGTTGAAAGGCAGTGAAATTTGATACCTAATAGTGCTTTAACACAGTCACTCCAAGCTCTGGCTTCTGTCTGGTGTGGTGTAAGCTCTTCAAAGCCTATAAAATGGTTAAGATTTTCAGCAGGGCTTTAAGAAGCATTTGTCTGTGATAGTGCCAAAAAGGTAGTAAGGCTTTATTTTACATTGCAAATGAGTTATTCAAGTCATAAGTGAAATCAGAAGCATATTTCACTGCCTGTCTGCCTTGTGCTGTACTGTTTTATTTTTATGCTTTCCAATAAAATAGAGGGCACACTTCTGAACCTTATAGTCTATAACTACAGATATGCCAATCTAACTAAAGATAATTTAAGTAACTCTGCACACAGGATACCACTGACCCCTGGATATAAAATATATTTATTGAAAAATTAAGGTATTCATTGGCCAACTCCTTTAACTTTTCTATATGAACACATACTGTCTCTATAAGATGCTTAGGAAAAAAAAAACCAAACCCAAAACCAGACAGCACATATGGAATGTGTATGGAATTTGAATTTTTAAAACCTGAGGTGGAAAAGTCTTTCCCCTTCACCTATTTAACACTACACTTACTTAATTACAGCATTTACAATAAATTAAGATTTTGATAGTGCGAATGTAGCTATCAGGAAGGTGATTTTGATGAAACGTCATCTTTTCTAGAAGGTGACAGTAACTGTGGGCTTTACAAAAAGTTTGGGCCGAACCATTTTTCCCCACTTCCACCTTCACTCACACAACTCTTTAGTTTAAGAATGCTTAAAATGAGTTTATAAAGCTGTAGTAGTACTTTTTGGGGGGGCAGTGGTGTATATGCACAGTGTTGTACTATGTAGAGATTGCTATGCCAGCTTAACCAACTATTTTGGATAGCATGGACCTTCCAAACTCATCTACCCTCTTTGAATTAAATTAGAGGATCAGAGTAAATTAGCTGGTGCAGCACTTCTTTGAATTAGCTCATTTAGGGCTTGCTCCAGGATCTCTGTATGCATCATACTGGTTTTAGAATTTATATTTACTCAAGCTTTTGATAAGCTTCTCATCATCTTAGGAATGAAGTTGATTGATATAGATTTGTTGAAAGAGTGCAACACTTTTCCATGAGCTGGACTTTCTTTTAGATTTCAGTTAACTTCTCTTTTACTCCTCCTAATGTATAGCTATGTAATTTCCATTACAGCCTCTGTTATTTGTCTAGATCAGTAACACTCTATGAGTGTGAGTGAGGTGGTGTTCTTCTAGTTGATTATCTGTTCCCCTTTTGATCCTTCTTACAAAAAGGTTTTACTTGTTACATGCATCATTTTTTCAAAGATCTCATGTTCTGCCTTTTTAAAGCATTGCTTAAATTACAACAGCAGGAAATCCGAAAACTTTGGGATTTAGTACCGTTCTGTTCTTTTCTCACATGTTGGGTGAAAATAATTTATATGCTTGTAGTAAACAATAATATTTATTAATATCTGTGCTTAAATTGGGCTATTGTAAGTCAGTTCCCAAATACTGATCAATGATATATAGAGTAAAACATGATTTTAATTTCCTTGAGATTTATTTGATGCAGTACTTTTGGGAGTGAAGTCAAAATATTTAATAGAAAGTTTTCCTAATTGGAAAGGTTGGCATGCACAACTGTTAAATGCTTCTGCATTCTCATGTAACTGTAATTTGATAATTTAGAGGGGGAGGGGAGTTCAGACCACCAAAGGACACAGAATTTACTAAAAGATTCTGTAAGACTGCTTTGCACATAGAAATCCTGCATGGTGTCTTTTTAGGAATGCTTTCTCCTCCTCGTGTCTGTGAGGTTAGTAACACAGAGCTAGCAGTCAATCTTGTTTTCAGGATTGTATTAAAACTAAGCAGATAAGAAATTTACTTCACTCTTTTATTCCATGTCTGTCCTACAGTCTTGCCATGTAATTTCTGAAGCTGAAATACTGTACCATTCAAATGTTTAACTACAGTTGTATTGGTATATTATAAAGATTCTTAGAGCTTTCTTGGTGGGGCTATAGTTTGCAGAATTATGTGATTGAAAACTTTTTCTTTTAACCAAAAATTATGGAAACATATTACTATGCTTAACGTTGAACCAGCCCGCACTACAACTCTTCCTTTATTCCCTAATTTACCAGAAGAAAGTTATCTGTATTTATGGCAGGTTAGAATTTTTCTGGCACTAGTAAGGTGTATTCAATGAAGAAATTACTGGATAGCATGAATCTCTTTAACAAGAATTTTACTTGTTGAACATTTCTCTGATGATTTGGCAAATCACAGAATGGCTTCAAAATTGCTTAATCAGTTTTTTAACATAGTTCTAACCTCTTTACATAGTTTTAAATGATCAACTATTACAGTAAAACCAGCAGCTTTACATGTTGTAGGTTGCTATGGTTAGATAATTTCCTCCACTTTTTTTTCCCCCCTTTGTCATCTGCTGAAAACTTGGTTAGATAAAATTCATGAAAACTCTTCAGGACCACTAAAGTAATTCTTTAAGTATCGGCTCATGTGCTTTGCTGAATTGAGATCATCCTGATCAGTGAAGCCAGGGTTCACGTACATGTGGCTCTGCAGCCTACAGAAGGCAAAGTCTCAGAAGCAGGGATGACATCCAAGGATATTAATTAGTGAGAGGAATTGGATATGGATAGAGAAAATCCTCTCAAATCAGTCTGGGACTGATTGGGTGGAAGAGCTATGTGGAAGAAAGGGGTTGTAAAGCGTCCTTTATGAATTTTAAGTCCTTATCAAGACATCTGTCATCTAGATATCTCCATTTTGCTTGTAATAAGCAGCAGACATGCAGGCTGGAATTTTTTTTTGCTTAGTTCAGCTGTATTTGTGCTCTTTAACTTCATATTTCCTTAAATTTGAGATGGGATTGTTGTTGTTTAATTTCAGATCTCTTGAAGTTAGATATCTAAAGTTAAGCTGGTCACCCTAATTTCTTCCTCCTAATAATGAAAAGAAACATTTATCATCAGAGAGACAGTCATTGTTTCCTAAGATTAGTGTCTAAAACGCGTCAGGTAATTTCTCTCTGGGGTTGCCTGTGTCTCAATATAGACTATTGGCAGCCTAGGGTGGCTAAAATGAAATGATACAAATACTGTTGAGAAAATTTGAAAATACTACACCACTCAAGGGTCCTTGCTCCCCTTCTCTCCTACTTCCCATGTCTACTGGCATGGTACTAATCTTTATGCCAGATTAACGAAGAGTGTATTTGCCTGTATTTGTCTGTAAATATAGGCAAGATCTCTAATTTTAAAATAGATCTTCAATGGATTAGCTTAATTTCCGAGAGGAACGCCCCCTAGGTTTCTCAGGCTTATGGACACTGTATAGGAAAACCTGGAAGAAAGAATTTGTATAATGCTCAGCTGATCATTTGCTCTCTTCCTTGGTCCAAGTATATTGCAACATACTCTGATTTCAGCTTCTGCTGCTCTGCTGCCACAGGCATACAGCTACCAGGAAGAAGATCAGACAAGTTAAGATCAAACTGTTTCCTCCCTGGTCTGTCTTCTGTGTTTAATCATAGAAGTATTTATTATGAAGAATGTTAACTACAGAATTACAAAGTTATTCACTTAAATTGGATATTGGATAACTGACTCTGAGTTTCAGATCATGAACCGGAGCTACGGCTTGTAATAGGTTAGCAGGTTAAACAAGAAATCAATACTAGACAGGCTTTGGTGATATTTTAAAAACATCTTCGTAATATAGGAATCGTAAGAAATAATGGCAGGTTCCTAGGTTTTTCTAGTTCACTAGTAAAGCTTCCCTTCCTTTTACATGTAAGTTTACCGTGGGATGTTACTGGCATCTTTATGTGTTTTCTTACAACTTTGTGAGTAATGTTCTTTCATTGTTTTCCCAGATTTGCCTCTGAGCATCGATTTTGGGCACCCAGGGAAGTAGAGGAAGAGGTGGAAAATAAAGAAATAACTGAAATGTTAAAAACTAGATATATAACATTTGCTGGCAAGTTTGAACCAGTGAAACACAAATGTCGAGCACCAATGCCCGATGGAAGTCTGTGTGAAAGACAAGATCGGATTAAGGTGGGCACCAAGTAACATAACTTCCAGGGTACATGCTATGTGGAGATCATCTCCTTAAAACGTGTCCATGAAAGTTCATTTCACATTGTAAATATAGCTCAAGGCAGTGAAAGGAAATTGTATCTGGAGAAGTTTGCTGTTGTGTGCTTCATATGAGAAGCATCCTTTCTGTACGGAAGCTGTTTACATTTAAAGAACTCCCAAATATTTTGGCATTCATCATAAGTATTTATATTATATCTGTTACTGTGATGTTTGAGTACCTGACAGTGGAGCAGAAACAGTTAGTTGTTTGCCAAAAAGTTTTCCACATTTAGAGGCATATTTGCTACAAACTGTTTTTAGAAATGTGGGTGTTTCAAGGGGCAAAGAGATTTGATTTACAAATCAGGTTTTGTGAAAGTTGAATCCTACACAGCCTCAAATTATGAGCACTATTGAGCAGAAATACTTTGCTTAAATACTTTGTTCTAATATCCTTGTTCTTCCTGTATTACGTGAGATTGAAGGATCTGAATGCACTAAAATATTTTCAGTGGGATTGTTACAGGATAGGGATATAGCGTAAACAACAAAACACAGTGCAGCATTGGTGCCCTGGTTCCAGACTTGACAGGATGTGCTACTTGGCCTCTTGAAACTGGGTATTCATATCACAAAGAGCTTATTTCTTTGAGATTCTGAATATATTAAACACACGATGTTTAAGGGAATCCTGATACTTTCTAAAGGGGACTGGGGATCAAGTGTAAAGTTTTGTCGCTTGATTCTTGTGTCTGGCTCTAAGCTATGCTGAGTAACAGGTAAGCATTTTCATTCAGAAGTTTTGAGACTTTTTTTCTTTGCTTTCTTGTCTGAAGTGCCCTTTCCATGGAAAGATAATTCCTCGGGATGAATCCGGGATTCCTGTTAATGCAGAGGACAGAGCCAGAGAAGAAAAGATGCGGTTTGAGAAGCAAGCGGCTCAGCCAGGTTTGTGTCTGCATAGCAAAAAAAAAAAAAAAAAAAAAAAAAGTAAAACTACTAGTCAGAAGTGGGAGATAAGCTTTAAATGTAAGCATAATATCTTTATTGTATATGTGTTTGTATATATATTGTATACAATATTTACTATATATATTTACTATTATACAATAATTATATATTGTGTCTATATATTGTAGATGCGATATATACACTATATTGTGTCTACATTGTATATATTTTTCATATATTGCCTCTACAACATATTGTATCTACATTATATCTCTATATTGTATGCATTGCATCTACATTGTATCTGTATACATTGTATCTATATGTTGATACAGTGTAGATACAAGCTGGACAGCATTCTTAGTACACAGTTGGACAACAAATGAGACAGGCTATGTGGAGGAAGAGACACAATTATTCTGTTGCTGAAGGCACAGGTTGACATCCACAGAACTGGATCATATTTCTGTTTTGCTCCTAACCCCATTCTCTCATTTAAATTCCTGTTGATTTTAATTTGCAGATCATTTGCAGTGATTCTTGCTTATGTGGTAAACATGGATGCATGTGGACGCAGAATAAGGTTAACATTGCGTTTGTTCTTTATTTCCAGTGGTTATCATAATGTTCCTAACACTTCTCAGACAGACAAATTATAGCCTTTATCTTAAGGAACATGTTTATTAAGGACAATTAAACCTGTTTCCTGGGAAATGTAACTGTTCCCATGCTTCTGAAAAGTCATCTAATCTTGCTGGTCCCTAACAGTTGTGATTTATGTAATGTAATGATAATATTACTAGGATCACTGTGTAACCACAAATATTGGCAGAGTGGGGGTTTTTTGTCACAATGCAGGAACATGTTTTTCCTACATCTGTTCATATCTATCATATTCAATGTTTCCTATTTCTGCTCATTTACTACTTGTGTTTTAGAAGGACAATTCTTGGCCTTGTTGTGCTGTGCATCTGTGCAGCATGGCTAGAAAATACTCTGAACTAGGAAAGCCCTCACCTTGGGCTTTACTTTATTGGCATTGTGATTAGTCTGGCTGTTCTAATAGCCATGATGTGATGTTCATGATGGGCTTGAGGAAGGGAGCAAGCAGGGCCTTGCTGTTTGATTGTTTACAGTTTGCTGTGCAATACTCTGGATTTTGTTTTTAAACAATGGGGATGGGCAACAACACTAATAGCCTTCTCCTTGCATCCTGGCTGCTGCTTTGAGGCGTGGAACACTCTGGAGGGAAGGCTCATCCTTCCCCGAGATTATTTGGGCATTTTTAGCCAGCTCTGGACTTCTAGGTATGGAATGCAGGTGATCAGAGAGACGGAAACCAATGAATACACAGGCAGGAAGACTTCCAAGGGGAATAAGAGACTTTTTTGTAATAGTACAACTAAGCCTCATTAGTGATGGACAGAAGGTAGATTTTCACAGAGCGCCAGGGAGACTGCAACCAGAAAGCTACTGGAAGTTGATGGACTGCACAGCAAGATGGGAGAGAGGGATCTATCCAGCGAAGACAGTGTATAATCGGAGGGGACAGATTAGTTTTCAAAGCTTCTATTTAATCTGCCTTCCTCCAGCAGGTCTTAGTTTTCTCTGGTTTAGGCTATTTATTTAGGTGAGTAGTCTGCATTCTAATTAAACTTACCCATAGGCTTTATCATTTTGATATCTTGTAGTATGCTCCCTTTAAGGAGTTAGTTCCCTCTTAAGCTCTGACTCAGTATTTCACCAGTTTCAGTCATATATATATTATTAATGAGGTTACTGAACCTTCCACAAAACCCCTTCAGAGTGTAAAGAGCTGTGTTGAATGAATGTGCATTTAAACATGCAACTGACTCACCCAGTTTCCTTTAATACATATTTGGCCATCTTCGAATGACCGTGCTTGGCAATTGCCAGCACCATGCAAACGCAGCAGTTCCTGAACACCTTCTGGTGTCTGCATGTGTCAAGAAGTGCTACATTTGTAGGCAGTTTCCATCCCTGTCCAGGTGGAGCGAAGTGCTCTAAACTGGCATCCAGCCCACAGCATGGGCACAGATGGACTGTCACAGCGAAAACCAGGCCAGGGGTGAGGATGTGGTGCTAAAAAGGAAAGTTCCCAACGTAGTTATGGCAAACTAAAAGTAGCAAATTAAACTAGTAGGTGTTCTCGAGCAACTAGTTTCAAACTAGAAACTAATCACTTGCACTGAAAAACATTGATTTTCTTTTTTTTTTTTTTTTTTCTTCCCCTTTGAATTTCCCTTTCTGGGGG